CGTTGTGGTATTCTGTTGAATAACTTACATCCAGATGGACTTCTACCACTTCAGTATCTCAGACGTTGTGGTATTCTGTTGAATAACTTACATCTAGATGGACTTCTACCACTTCAGTATCTCAGACGTTGTGGTATTCTGTTGAATAACTAACTTACATCCAGATGGACTTCTACCACTTCAGTATCTCAGACGTTGTGGTATTCTGTTGAATAACTTACATCCAGATGGACTTCTACCACTTCAGTATCTCAGACGTTGTGGTATTCTGTTGAATAACTTACATCCAGATGGACTTCTACCACTTCAGTATCTCAGACGTTGTGGTATTCTGTTGAATAACTTACATCCAGATGGACTTCTACCACTTCAGTCTCTGACGTTGTGGTATTCTGTTGAATAACTTACATCCAGATAGACTTCTACCACTTCAGTATCTCAGACGTTGTGGTATTCTGTTGAATAACTTACATCCAGATGGACTTCTACCACTTCAGTATCTCAGACGTTGTGGTATTCTGTTGAATAACTTACATCTAGATGGACTTCTACCACTTTAGTATCTCAGACGTTGTGGTATTCTGTTGAATAACTTACATCCAGATAGACTTCTACCACTTCAGTATCTCAGACGTTGTGGTATTCTGTTGAATAACTTACATCCAGATAGACTTCTACCACTTCAGTATCTCAGACGTTGTGGTATTCTGTTGAATAACTTACATCCAGATAGACTTCTACCACTTCAGTATCTCAGACGTTGTGGTATTCTGTGGAATAACTTACATCCAGATGGACTTCTACCACTTCAGTATCTCAGACGTTGTGGTATTCTGTTGAATAACTTACATCTAGATGGACTTCTATCACTTTAGTATCTCAGACGTTGTGGTATTCTGTTGAATAACTTACATCCAGATGGACATCTACCACTTCAGTATCTCAGACGTTGTGGTATTCTGTTGAATAACTTACATCCAGATGGACTTCTACCACTTCAGTATCTCAGACGTTGTGGTATTCTGTTGAATAACTTACATCCAGATGGACTTCTACCACTTCAGTATCTCAGACGTTGTGGTATTCTGTTGAATAACTTACATCCAGATGGACTTCTACCACTTCAGTATCTCAGACGTTGTGGTATTCTGTTGAATAACTTACATCTAGATGGACTTCTACCACTTCAGTATCTCAGACGTTGTGGTATTCTGTTGAATAACTAACATCCAGATGGACTTCTACCACTTCAGTATCTCAGACGTTGTTGCAATCCGTTGTATAGTCTACAGCCAGATGGACATCTACCCGTTCCACTTGTAACGTTGAACCGTACTGGGGGACAGATAGGTCCCCCGTATCCCAAGGATTGTCGCAATTGTTCAATGGTTTAGCTCTTCAGCCTATCAAGTATTGCTGTAATCTACCAAATAGCCTACAGCCAAGTCAAATGGCTCTTCAATATCTCATTTTTGTAATCTATTTAATAGCTTACAACCAAATGTACAAATGACTCTTAATTATCGCAAACATTGCTGTAATCTGTTAAATATCTTATAGACAAATCGTATGTGTCTTCAACGTGTGAAACACAGAAACATAGTTGAAATCTATTGAAAAGTTTCCAGAAAAAATTAACACACATTGCTTATCGGCATTACAAACAATGTTATTATCTGGAAAAAAGAAACCCAGTTTCTCTTTAAATGTTTTGTATCTGTGTTATAGGTCTTAAAACCAAATGGACCGCCCCCAATCCCACATCAACCGAAACATCCTTCTAAAGTACTGTGGGAAATAGAAAAAAATACTGTTGTTAGGCTATTACTCTGTATCCCTAAAATTTACACATTTACACAAATAGCATATGTCGAAATAACCCACATCGGTCTAACTGGGCGTTCAGTGGGATGCGTAATAGGATATCCAGAAAAGCATGTTTACTCGTAAAAATCGGGCAAAACTTAGAAAAAATATGAATAGCTACTGAAAACAATGGATCAGACTATAGATGGCAATTAGGTCGCTCAGCCAGGTATGACGACGGACCATCGAGTCACCTGGCATGAAATGCACGTGCTGCCTAAAGGCACAAGGGGGTCATCTCAAAGATATTTGATGCCTTTTCTTGTGCGTTGAATATGTCGCATCTATTGATTAACATCTTACGTGTATTTCTTTCATAAAGTTTATGTTCAGATATGTACAACAGTATGATACCCATAGAAAAGCATACTCAGTCATCGTATTAAATGTCTCAAAATATATAGGTGGCATGACCACCCGAAGATCGACAGGACTGGATATTATTGGTAAATTGTTATGGCATGCCGTTTAATTCCCCAGTTTAATTCCCCTGAAGGATCATATTATCTTAGCTGGTATCTCTATACCCCAGCCCGACCCCAAACCACCGTCTACGACACACGTCCTTGTTTTGCTTTTGAGACGACCCCTCCTACCTGTTTCTTTTTATAGTGATAGTGAGACTCCATGGTAGCTACATCCTGAATAGTTTCACAATTAAAGATTTTTTTTTTTTATACGTCAGCTATCGTTTATAATGACGCTAAGTCTAATTTCAAAATGGGTATTTAAAAAGTGTCCTTTGTAATACAATATCATCGCCCTCTAATTTGCATAAAGCCATGGTCTGTTCCAAATAAGTCGATTTGGACTCCGAAAAAAGACCGCATGGCTCATTTCTGCACTAATCTCTCCTCAGTAAAGTCCACTTTTTACGTTTCCTATCTCCCTACCACTGAAACTATAGTTAGGCCGAACTTAGTTTAACAAATATTTCACACTTTCACATATTCTCTACATAACATTTTTTTTTCTATTTCCGACAGTACTTGATAGTCTATACGTTTGCTATACTGGATCAGACTTTCTGTGTAGGCAACGTTTTGGATTCACAAAATTGTCTGAGTTTCATGAAACAGCATATTTGTAATTTGTTTCCAAAAGGATATTGAAGGTTCTGTGGCACCTTTCATGACAGCCACGTCTTGAGAACTGCCGGTACCAGTGGTACATCGCGAATCCATAGACATATATGCGGCGACACGGCCCTCCTGTAAACAAACCTGACTCACAAAATGTCATCAGCCACCGCTGCATGCATTATTGATCAATTTGTTGTCTCTTTTTCAGATGTAACTATGAAAGTGAAAAAACACAGCCCCATACTGAGTCCGCTGACTGCCTCGTTTTGACATATATTTGATGATCCATAACTCCCCGCGTGCGCAAACCAGACGTTAACTTATATACACGACATCTTGTCAAAAGGACCTAGTATAGTGTGATCATTTTTTGAACAGTTGAGGCTATTCAGCACTTCAACTGCCCATGCCATGCCCTGTTGCAGACACTGTAATTAGCGACAATAATTAGCGTATGGTTAGGTCAGGGGTCAGGTCGTGTCCCTAGAGTGAGTGAGTTTGATTATACGCCGCTGTTAGCAATATTCCAGCAATATCATCGCGGGGGACACCAGAAATGGGCTTCACACATTTGACCCGTGTGGGGAACCGAACCCAGGTCTTCGGCGTGACGAGCGAACGCTTTAACCACTATGTTACCCCACCGCCCCCTGTGTCCCTAGATAATGGTAAAATATTTCATGTATTTTTCAGAAAGTAGAACTGTGACATTTTTCCATAATCAACCCCTTTTACTAAAGCTGTGCTAAATTGTGATGAATCCCTTTTCGTTGTCATTTTATCATGCCCCTCATCATCAGAGTATCATGATTTAATTAAATTATCAATTATTAGCATTAACAATGCGCTGAGGAAGTCATTCTGTTCGCCGGATGAGGTACAAGTAGGTACTGGGGTTCGGATGTAATGTATATAAACACATGAAACCAAAACTAAAGACACATATTCACTGTATAAGAGATCATTATTGTCAAGCGGATAACACGCACCATGAAGATTGCGACATGCGAATAATAATGTGAATCAAGGTGTAAGGGAGGCTACTCATTAAAGAGAAGAGTTAACTCCCTTACAGGAAGTCAGTTTCACGCTGCTCGCACGTCGCTCAAGGATCTAGGCCTATTATTTTCTGTTGTGACAAATGTGGATTAGCGAAAACTATCTGCCGAGATTTACATGTTAAAAGATTAGGGAACAGGTCGTCAAGTGAGTTGTTCTGTTGTCATCTTACGACCATCTGTCAATGTGGTTCATCGTCCAGTCTTTCATGTTTACGTTTGTAAATATGTCCCGTTTTCGATCACCACGTGCCATCCCATCATAACGTGTAACGGTGTATTCGATCTGAACAGTCAGGGTTAAAGATTTGTGTATAATGTACGATCCTGAATGATTTTCCCAATAACTGATGTCACAGAATGTGTCCTGTTCAAATTTGATTAAATCATAACATGTTTCCAGAATGTTCTCGGCCGTAATCACGCATATAATTTAAATGACCATGACGTGATTTGTTCACAACCGAACCGCCCCATTGATTATGGATTTCATCGGAGTGGAAAACGTCCGGCATCACTCCGGGTTATCCACCTACATCTGTGATTTGAAAAAAACTGATAAAATTGAAAGTGTTAAAACCAGCCCACTTACTCACTCTATGTCGAGTGGATATAACTGTTACTACTCTGCGCTGTCACTGAGAGTCTTTGAAATACTATGACAATTCTCAGGATAACATTCGAAAGTAATACTTACATTTTTTAATCTGCCAAGCATCTGTTTAATCTGCAAGTAGCATGATATTTGAAACTGTATGGCCAGAAACTGTATGACGAGAAACTGTATATCATACACATTAATAAACAGCTGAAATTTGTTTGCTGTTTTTGTTACCTTGACCATGATCAAAAATATAATTTAGTGGAAACTTGTTCAGGTATTACACTGAAATACCAATCAGGTTATTAAGTGAAATCTAAACTGTTAATTTTTTCTCTGCATAATCTTGTAGATTGTTTAGAAGAGGGACATCTTTCTTCTCGATTATTCCAGATCAATCAGAATGAACCGGTCACTGATCAAGCAGAAGAAGGACTGGACAGATGAAGAGAGGAAGGAGCTAGCAGCCAAGCTGGATGCTGAGTTTGAACAGTACCTTGAGGGCATGATCGAGAAGAGCAAGAACAAGTCTCAAGCTGAGCATGAAGCAAGCATAGAGGAAATACTTGCCGTGAGTCAGTCATGTAGTGTTGATATCTCCCCAGGTGGCCACATGGCCAAGTCGATCGTCATCTTGATTACACCATAGCAACATCCTGACAGTAGCAGGTTACCTCACCCAGATGAACACTACACAGCTGTCATTCATTCTCTGATGAAACTTGTTAATATGTCGTGTGTTATGTTGTCCATAAAGCAGAGAGTTACAGAATTACATTTTGGGAAAATCCTCAGTGTCAAAAACTTAAGTCAAATACAAAAATACCTTTTAGAGAGATTAAGTCAGCATGATTCATCATCTAAAGGAAGCGTCCATCAGAACTTGTAACAGAGAATGCTCAACTTGCTAAAGCATAAATTCACATAACTTTCTTATGGATTCATTTTCAACATCAGCCAGGTCTTGACTTCATTACTTCCAACTTTACTGGGTGCGTCTTCCATTTACTATGAATAAAGCATCCACTTTATGACTTTTGATAGGTTACAGGATGTAACACCAATGGGGTTTTTGGTGGAAAGATGAATGGAGACAAAAGTAGCTCTCCACATATTATAAATACTGAAGTTTGGTGTTTAAATGGATTGTCTTGTTATGGTTTATGCAACTGTCAATATTAGGATAGAAGTTGCTTGTGTTGCCTCTCTTCAACTGATGAAGACAGTGCCTCACATGAGCAAGTTCAAGATAAAGTGCGTTGCACGTCATAAATTAGAACTTGATAAACATAGGACTATTAACTTTGTCATCTTGAAACTGATGAGGCCAGAGGTTGTACTCTCCATGAACAGAACCTGATATTGGACAGGTCAGCCGGTCAAAGTGACCACAGCATGATGTAAGGTTGGAAGTGATGCATGTCCAGTGGTAGCGTCTGTGTTGCAGGATATTGATGGTCACCCAGCTTTCATGACGTCCCAGGATGATTTAGACCTGACCAAGCCGTTGCATCCAGCTGTGGAGGGACTCATGGCCATCAAGTACGAGAGTGAAAACCCTACAGGTGCAAATATGTCCTCATCATGATACCTAACAACAGACAGTGGTCAAAGACTGAGATTTTCATTTGAAATTGCCCTGTCGTTTCCACGGGAGAAACATCTTATTTACTCACCATGGGGGGTCCAATGCAACGTTGGTAACTACTGACCTGTAGTAATGCTATAGTTGACCATAGGCTAACAAATGACATAGCTTTGTGGATCTGGACCCTGGTAATTTGACTCACATGGTAGTTGATTTAGAGATTATCTTACACCCAGTCTTAGTTGCTTCATAGTATTGACCACTGGTTTATACAACCTTGACTTCTGATATCTCATGTGTCGTACATAAGTCATTCTAAATGTCTTGTAACTATAACATCAGTTATTCTCCACAGCTCGCGCAGACAGCTACAGAGACGATGGTAATGACAACTTCAAAAAGAAAAACTACCGCATTGCAATAGAAAACTACGCTGAGGCCATTAGGAGCAAGAGTCCAGACAAGAAACTGAATGCAGTGTGTTATACAAACAGAGCTGCAGCGCAATATCACCTGGGTAAGCAGCACAGTATCACCTGGGTAAGCAGCAGTGTATCACCTGGGTAAACATAGTATCACCTGGCAGCACAGGTTGGGTAAGCACCTGGGTAAGCAACATCATCTGGGTAGTATCACCTGGCTAAGCAGCACAGTATCACCTGGGTAAGCAGCATCTGGGTAAGCAACACAATCATCGCATCACAGTATCACCTGGGTAAGCAGCACAGCGTTGGGTAAAGCAACACAAGCAGGTAAGCACAGTATCACCTGGCTAAGCAGCACGGTATCACAAGCAGCACGAGCATCACCTTTAGTAAGCAGCATCACCTGGGTAAGCAGCATCGGTATCATCTGGGTAAGCAGCACAGTATCACCTGGGTAAGCACAGCACCTGGCAGCATAGCATATCAGCATGTATCATCTGGGTAAGCAGCACCTGGGTAAGCACCACAGTATCACCTGGGTATCACCTGTGTAAGCAGCACAGTATCACCTGGGTAAACAGCATCAGCACACGTATCACCGGGTAAGGTAAGCATCACAGTATCACCTGGGTAAGCAGCACAGGGTATCATCTGGGTAAGCAGCACAGTATCACCTGGGTAAGCAGCACAGTATCATCTGGGTAAGCAGCACAGTATCATCTGGGTAAGTAAGCAGCATCACCTGGTATCATCTTTGGTAAGCAGCACAGTATCACCTGGGTAAGCAGCACAGTATCACCTGGGTAAGCAGCACAGTATCACCTGGGTAAGCAGCACAGTATCACCTGGGTAAGCAGCACAGTATCACCTGGGTAAGCAGCACAGTATCACCTGGGTAAGCAGCACAGTATCATCTGGGTATCACCTGGGTAAGCAGCACAGTATCACCTGGGTAAGCAGCACAGTATCACCTGGGTATGCAGCACAGTATCACCTGGGTAAGCAGCACAGTATCATCTGGGTAAGCAGCACGATATCATCTGGGTAAGCAGCACGGTATCATCTGGGTAAGCAGCACAGTATCACCTGGGTAAGCAGCACAGTATCACCTGGGTAAGCAGCACAGTATCACCTGGGTAAGCACAGTAAGCAGCACAGTATCACCTGGCACGGTATCACAGCACACAGTATCACCTGGGTAAGCAGCACAGTATCACCTGGGTAAGCAGCACAGTATCATCTGGGTAAGCAGCACAGTATCATCTGGGTAAGCAGCACAGTATCACCTGGGTAAGCAGCACAGTATCACCTGGGTAAGCAGCACAGTATCACCTGGGTAAGCAGCAGTATCACCTGGGTAAGCAACACAGTATCATCTGGGTAAGCAGCATGGTATCATCTGGGTAAGCAGCACAAGCAGCACAGTATCATCTGGGTAAGCAGCACGGTATCATCTGGGTAAGCAGCACAGTATCACCTGGCTAAGCAGCACACCTGGGTAAGCAGCACAGTATCACCTGGGTAAGCAGCACAGTATCACCTGGGTAAGCAGCACAGTATCACCTGGCTAAGCAGCACAGTATCATCTGGGTAAGCAGCACAGTATCACCTGGATCAGCACAGTATCACCTGGGTAAGCAGCACAGTATCACCTGGTAAGCAACACAGGCTAAGCAGCACAGAATATCACCTGGCAGCACAGTAAGCAGCACAGTATCACCTGGGTAAGCAACATAGTATCACCTGGGTAAGCAACTCAGTATCACCTGGGTAAGCAGCATAGTATCACCTGGGTAAGCAGCACAGTATCACCTGTATATCCTCTGGGTTCCAGAATATTGATCCGGTTTTGTGTTTAACATTGTGATGTTTTCTGTTGCAGGAAACTATGGGTCCTCCTTAAGGGATTGTATTTTTGCCCGCAAGTTTCAGCCTGATCACTGGAAGGCCATTATGAGAGGTGAGTGAACACAGGAAATCATTTGTAGTGTTGAATTCATGCACCATCCTAGTGTTTACATCCAACACTGCTGTAATGTAAACACTGTTGTGCAGACAACTGTTGTGGTGTTGATGTCATGAACTGCTATAATGTTGGTGCTATGCTTTCCTGTAGTGTTGACACCATGCTCCGCTGTAGTGTTGACACCATGCTCTGCTGTAGTGTTGACACCCATGGTCTGCTGTAGTGTTGACACCATGCTCTGCTGAAGTGTTGACACCATGCTCCGCTGTAGTGTTGACACCATGGTCTGCTGTAGTGTTGACACCATGGTCTGCTGTAGTGTTGACACCATGCTCTGCTGTAGTGTTGACACCATGCTCTGCTGTAGTGTTGACACCATGGTCTGCTGTAGTGTTGACACCATGCTCCGCTGTAGTATTGACACCATGGTCTGCTGTAGTGTTGACACCATGCTCTGCTGTAGTGTTGACACCATGGTCTGCTGTAGTGTTGACACCATGCTCTGCTGTAGCATTGACACCATGCTCTGCTGTAGTGTTGACACCATGCTCTGCTGTAGTGTTGACACCATGCTCTGCTGTAGTGTTGACACCATGCTCTGCTGTAGTGTTGACACCATGCTCCACTGTAGTGTTGACACCATGCTCTGCTGTAGTGTTGACACCATGCTCCGCTGTAGTGTTGACACCATGCTCTGCTGTAGTGTTGACACCATGCTCTGCTGTAGTGTTGACACCATGCTCTGCTGTAGTGTTGACACCATGCTCCGCCGTAGTGTTGACACCATGCTCCACTGTAGTGTTGACACCATGCTCCGCCGTAGTGTTGACACCATGCTCTGCTGTAGTGTTGACACCATGGTCTGCTGTAGCATTGACACCGTGGTCTGCTGTAGTGTTGACACCATGGTCTGCTTTAGTGTTGACACCATGGTCCGGCTACTACCAGTGTTGACACCATGGTCTCCTGCAGCGTTGACGACACCATGTGCTCTGCTGTAGTGTTGACACCATGGCCTGCTGTAGTGTTGACACCATGGTCTGCTGTAGTGTTGACACCATGCTCTGCTGTAGTGTTGACACCATGCTCCGCCGTAGTGTTGACACCATGGTCTGCTGTAGTGTTGACACCATGCTCTGCTGTAGTGTTGACACCATGGTCTGCTGTAGTGTTGACACCATGGTCTGCTGTAGTGTTGACACCATGCTCTGCTGTAGTGTTGACACCATGGTCTGCTGTAGTGTTGACACCATGGTCTGCTGTAGTGTTGACACCATGCTCTGCTGTAGTGTTGACACCATGCTCTGCTCATTAGTGTAGTGCACACCATGGCCTGCTGTAGTGTTGACACCATGCTCCGCTGTAGTTTTGACACCATGGTCTGCTGCAGTGTTGACACCATGCTCTGCTGTAGTTTTGACACCATGGTCTGCTGCAGTGTTGACACCATGCTCTGCTGTAGCATTGACACCATGCTCTGCTGTAGTGTTGACACCATGCTCTGCTGTAGTGTTGACACCATGCTCTGCTGTAGTGTTGACACCATGCTCTGCTGTAGTGTTGACACCATGCTCCACTGTAGCATTGACACCATGCTCTGCTGTAGTGTTGACACCATGCTCCGCTGTAGCATTGACACCATGGTCTGCTGTAGTGTTGACACCATGCTCTGCTGTAATGTTGACACCGACCATGCTCTGCTTTAGTGTTGACACCATGCTCCGCCCATTAGTGTTGACACCATGCTCCGCCCGTAGTGTTGACACCATGCTCCGTTCTTTGTTGACACCATGCTCTGCTGCGGTGTTGACACCATGCCCCGCTGAAGTGCTGTAGTCATCATGCGCTTATGTTCTTTAGATCACCCATTGACTGTACGTATGAAGCTCTGACAAAGCACTGACTTGGACACCATGTATTGACTGCTGGATCCTGTTCTGGTACTTCACTTACAATTGAATGCTGTTGTTATGTCCAGAACACGGAGACTGCTGTAGTACATTAGATGCTGTTATTGGTCTCCGGATGACCATGGCTGTGGATAGATGCTGCTCTAATGGTCTCGGTATCCTTGTACAATACGTTATATACAACACAGGCTGTAGTACATTAGATGCTGTTATTGGTCTCCGGATGACTCGGACTTCACTGTAAATCATCATATCCAGCAAATATTGTTCATTTCTGTTTGTCCATTAAATAACCTTGACCTTGTTGAGCTGGAACCGGGGCAGGAAGAACTCCTCTGTATGAGGGCAAAAGCTGACAAGCAGCAGGTGAGTACTGGAGGGGATGAGCACAGGCCCTCATGTCTTTGCGAGGGTTAAAGATTTAAAATAATTTTTTTTAAAATTTGAGATGACCCCTGACTCGAAATGCTTCACAGTACAGTACATTATGACAGGGCCGGACACTTCAGTGCACCCCGCCTGCCTGCTTTGCCGATCGCTACGCTACCATCGCATGCAATTGATTAAAACTCAATGTAAACATAATCATGGATGATTGGCCTATCGATCACCAATCATGACACCTACCAATTCTTTATTGTTATTTCTGCAAGTCGATTGAAACCCAATTTTGACTCTCAACTAAACGATATTGACACAAATGGATGACGATATATCCGCAACAACTGGGGGTGTGGTCAAAGCAAGCCCTTTGATTGGTCAACGCTTGTAAATCTGCACATTCTTTATAAATTCGTAGGAATTCTTCCTTGCTTGCTGTGTACAATGTTCAGAATTATGAGACCGCAGTGATGGCATCTGTGTAAGGCACAGGACGTGATAAAGACATGTTTGCGTGTGTGTGTGTGTGCGTGTGTGACTTGATGAAGACGGCCATGTTTCAGAGGGCGAAGGAGCGGGATGAGAGGAAGCAAGCGGCCCAGGACAGGAAAGAGGAGGCTGCAGACAGGAAGCTGATAGCACTGATACAGGTGACATGGCATCACAGGGATGTTGTCCAGCACGACTGTGACCTTATCGATCAAACATCACCCTAGTGATGAAGTTGACATCACTACACTGTAGCACAACAGATCAGTATGTTGTCATCAATCGAACATGACTAGTCAGTGTGCTTAAGTGTCACTTCTATGTGTTGAAAGTATTGTAACGCCACTTGACTGATATGGTTAATTTATATGAAAAGCTGCATATCACTAATGAGGCAATACGTACTGACTCAAGTTATGTTGCTGTATGTCTGTATAAAGTGTGTCAAGCTGATTATTACAACAACAAACTTTTCTAACACCATGACAACACTGTTCTCAGTTAATGTGAAAAGTCATTGAGAAATTACTTTTGATATTTAGTCCTGAGAAGAAGGTTATTTTGCTGAGATAAGAAACCACTATTTAGTATTCAATGAATCTCTCTTTCAATAAAAGGTGATTGATTTGTCATGAACTTAGCAACACAAAGATATTCTGGGTTTTGTAGGCTAGTCAGACATATTTGGTGGAAGACACAGGTAATATGGGTGGATCGGACATAGTCATGGTATTACCTGCTTATAACTCAAATATTGGAGGTCTTGGGATGAGAACCAGAGTAGTTTGGATGGCAGTGGTGAACAATATGCTCCATCAGATCTACCATTGCTGACTTTCATGGTGATACAGGATCGTGGCATCCGAGTCGGTGGACTGAGAAGGACAGCGGAGACCGCCAAGCTCAACCCTCTCCTGTTCACAAGTCTGGAAAGCCACAACCCGTCTGGAGCCAAGGTGCATGTAGATGAGAGTGGAACCCTGTTCTGGCCTGTTCTGTTTTTCTACCCAGAACATGGACAAACAGACTTCATTGAAGCCTTCAATGAGAATGATGTGTAAGTAACTGAAATCAAATAACAAGCTCAAGAGATTTAATGTTGATTATGTTCATGGTGCTATGGGGAAGCCTGATGATTAGGGCCAAACACTTGGTTCAGTTTCTCCATATGTATAAAACCCTCGCCTAGTGCCCTCTGCTGTGATATCGATGGAATAATGCTAAAAGCATTGTAAAGAGTAAAACCCTTTTCATTCATTACTGACAACCACTTTGCAACTATTCACTGAATGAGCAATACCAGAAAGCCAGAAATTTTCGCACCTATGCTCAGGTCACCAGTCTGCTGACTCCTTTAAAACAATTGTAAAGGTTTATAGGGCAACTCGATTCTAACTCTCACTAAGTTGTCCAAGATATTTTTATGGATTAAACTTCTTTTTTAATTTCTCTCACGACGTTTCGAGACCATTCCAGGTCCCTTCATCAGGTGAACTGACAGTTAGGACTATGACGTCGTCACAATGCAAGTGACATCACAGTACACTAGGGAGAGTACTGTATAAGTGAGTGTGAAGAGTTAATTACATAATGATGAAAATTCATGCTAAATAATAGAGTTGAAAGTTGAATTGTCAATACACAACGACTGCTAATTACACAAAAGTTACTTTGATAGCAGGCTTTCCAAAAAAGAATAGTAGACTCGTTTTTCTTTTATCTAAAGTTCATCAAAAGTTAATCAAGAGGTCCCGCGCACTTGGCAGGTAGACACCTTGATCACGATTCATTGCTGGTTTATGTCTCCTTATCTCCACAGCCTCCTGTAGTTTTCTCCGACGCCAGTCGTTGTTATTTCTCGAAAGCACCCTGATATCATTCCACATGATTACATGACTTGGGTTATTTGCCTTGTGCTCCGATATAGCTCACTTATCATTTTGTTTGCATACTGACGACTTGTGTTCAGCAACCCGGGTGTTAATGGGCCTGAGAGTCTCGCCAATATATTGATTGCCACAGCTGCATGGTATTTGGTATACACATCCTCTAGGGTTGGGGCTTCCATTGCTAGATCCTCTTCCATTTGCCCGGAGGAGTGTCTTAATTGTTGTACCGCTAGAGAAATTTTCATCATTATGTAATTAACTCTTCAAACTCACTTATACAGTACTCTCCCTAGTGTACTGTGATGTCACTTGCATTGTGATGTCATAACTCAGTTATGACATCATAGTGACGACGTCATATTCCTAACTGTCAGTTCACCTGATGAAGGGACCTGGAATGGTCTCGAAACGTCGTGAGAGAAATTTAAAAAGAAGTTTAATCCATAAAAATATCTTGGACATCAATGTACAACTTCTAAATGCCACTGAAAGACATCTCACTAAGTTGACATGAATACTATAGAATGATGCTGCTATTTTGTCTAATCAGGTTCCATGACCACCTGTGTCACATGTTTGGTCCAGGAGTGGAACCACCACCGTGGGATGAGGACAGAAAGTACACCCCTGACGCTATGGAGGTAAGTATCTAGGATTTGATTGGCTATTGCAGAAATGTGGCGTTTGATTGGAGCAGTGATTAGATATTGAGTACTTGAAACAGTAAGCATGTATTATTACATTACATCATTCCATGGGACACAATACTGTTGGGTATGCAGAGTTGTTTCCCTTGGACAAGCTTTGACGTTATGGCCATGTTTCATGGATCTTGGCTCTGGGTCGTTAACTCTGATGATTTCATGTCACAATCATATCCCAGTTGTGTTTATAGATGCTCATGATGTCAATCACTAGATTCTCATGTCCAGAATCAAATATTTACAGACTGCTTTGATACAGCCAGAATAGTGTGGTCTTCAACAAGAAACAAACTTATGACAAATAAGTGTGGTCATCTGCTTGCAGAACACTCCTTTGTTGTGTGTTTCCATGGCAACAAAATCAAACAGTTCTGTCTTTTTTGTCCTGAGCAGTAAGTGTGGCATAATCATGATCTCTCATGTGCTTCTCTGGACACTTGCCTGGTTTGTCTCAATGTATACTGTTAGACCGGAGTTTTACTTGGAATCCTCACAACTCACCAGATAATGACTTCATTGACTGTTTGTGGTAAACATGATTCTAGAATATTTGAATGTATCCCTACTGTAATAAATGTGATGATGGCAGGGATCATCATAGGAATACCTGATAAAGACGTCAGGAATTGAGTTAATGTCATGACTTTGCTGTTATGTGTCCAACAGATTCTATTCATGCCACAAGGATTCATTTAAATAGACAAACCCGTGAAGATCCGGGTTAGAATTGGTCTTCAGTAACCCATGCTTGTCATATGAGGTGACTAACGGGATCGGGTGGTCATGTTCGCTGACTTAGTTGACGCATGTCAGAGTATCCCAATTGCCTATGATATATTCCCACGATGCTCATGATGTTGATCACTTGATTGTCTGATCCAGACTTGATGATTTACAGACTGACACCATATAGCTGGAATATTGCTGAGTACGGCATAAAACTGAACTCGCTCACACTCATTATTAAACAACAATCTTACACATGTTCTGTTTCAGATATTCTTCGAGGATCGTGTGAAGGAAGAGCTACATAAAGTCGACGCCTCCTCCTCCCTGTTGCAGACCATGAGGCATGAGAAGTGCGTTCATCACCATTTATCTTGCCTCACACATAAGTGTCGTTTTCTGATTGGCTGAGCACTCTTCTATTATTTACAATGTACCCTGCTAACAAGCGGGTAACATTTTCTATGTACCCCGCTGAGAATGCCAAACGCATTGGTACTTCGTAGCAGTAATTCTTTATCTCGAATAACATTGAATCACATATGATGTACGGAAATTACCGATGTTTTTGCAATTGCAAATCGATGGAAGGGAGATAACTCTAAATTTGTTTTCTCTTGTTCGGTAAGATCAATACCTTGTTCACTGGTCACTCCGGGCCCATAGGTTGATGTACCCTCAATGTTTCTTTATGATCACCTATCCCTTGGGGCTCAGGGAACATAAACAAACATCGAGGGTACATCAGCCCATGTCCCCCTCAAGACCAGTGAGCAACTTATAGTGTCCTTAATTCCAGGGATCGGCCCTGAGACAGTGTGTACGAGTGGGGTATCACATCAATGTTGGTCTGCCTGTCGCCTCTATTGTGGTTATGGCGTCTCTGTGGGTTAGCAGGTTATAAAACTGACAGTATTCAGGTCCAATATACACAGTAAGAGTAATATCTAGGTCAGGGGCTGTGTATGCAATCACTTTTAACTTAATTTTAGAAAGGATATTTGATTGCACAGTACCAGACTTTAATGGCTGACATTATGTGTTGCAGGTTTACTGTGAATGCGGGCACCCCCTGTTTTATCCTGCTGGTCGCAGGCTCCAAGTGCTGGACAGATTACCTCAAACGATACAATTATAAAACATGATTCAGGATAATAAAATTTTAAAGCATGAATCTTTGGCCTTTTTCAATGGAGCAGAGAGAACACTTTGGGAAGACAAGTCTTTGAATGTCATTTTAGAAGTGATGCACAAAAGGGACAGAGTTTGTGGATGTCAACTTCCTTATGATGAGGAACTCTTGTTTAATTACCCTCTACCCCAGTCAGCGATATTTAACAGTTGGCATACCTTGTTTAAGTGTCCTTTGCTGTTACCAATCAGTGCTAATTATGTCCGCCTTCACCAGTCAGCGATATTTAACTGTCGGCAAACATGTTCCAACGTTGTAATTTTTTCACTTTTGTTATGCTTAGATACATACGTATGTATGTAGGTGTATGTATAAAAGTAAGTTGCATCCAAGTATTCGTTCATATGAGGAAGGAGCAAGTGTGCTGTGGTCCTCTTAGCAAACAACTTGACATCCATGAATTCGATCTTAGTAAAGTAGTGATTCTTGTACTTTTGCTGTTAAGTTCCACACTCTCAGAGTGAGGACCTAATCGCCAGCACACATCAGCAATCTTAACCCACTCAGTCACGTGGCTTCCACAAAAATGGAAGTCTGTGAGTCAGGGGGTCCTGATCATGTACTTTTACCCTTCTGACAAGTGTAAACTGGCATGGCAACAGATGATAGCTATGAAGACACAAATGCCTTTAAGAAAGTGGTCAAATGTAATATATGTTTGTTTGTTGTTGTTGTTGTTTTGTTTGTTTTGTTTTGTTTTGTTTGTTTGTTGTTGTATTATTTTTGGGGGGGGGCAGGAGGGATTACACTTTGCAGAAGTGAATATTCTAGTGCTTTAGGTGGTTGACTCCCAGCCATGATTTGAACCCATTGTGAGCCCAAGACTGAATGTTAAATAATTGTCACAGATTGTCTGGATTGTCACTTTATTCTCTTCAAATACCACCATATTATCATGGAATAATCATTCATACGAAAATTCATTATTAATTATGACAACTACAAACAATATATTAGGATTCAGATATTAGGAAAATATAAATATAGAATATTAGTTTCATCATGATCAGTAATAGCTTAGAGAAAGACTCCAGTCAGAAGTTGTAAAACTCATCTCACAGACATACTATTGAAAAAGGTATAAATTACGACTACACAATTTCACAGATATTCAAGATAAAATCCTAGCCTAAGGTATTGAGGACTCAAGCTGTTAGCAACCCTTTCAGTAATTCAGAGTTATGACCAGACGATTAAATGAACTGCTTTCATAATGTAAACATGTCATCATGTATATTACAAAACTTTAAGCAAACACCAATTAAGGGTCATAAAGACATGGCCCAGAGTAAACGCATCTATTGTAATCCAAGCACCTATAATTGACACATCAGATTAGGCTCGTTAAGATCTAGCCCAGGGTAAGCATCCAGTAAAAGTGCCATCGAGATTAGTGCCAGTTAAAATAGGATTAACAGGATTAAGAGTACTTCCCCTGCCTGGTCATGTCATTAGTAGGACACACCCCATTTTGTATATTCTGTATTTGATAGGCTAATGTAGGTTACACCCATTTTTGTATCAGTGAACCGATCGTAATCTCTTTATTGTTTTAATTCTAGATAAAAAGTCTCTAACTGCATTTGTCCATCAGTAGGGTTTAGACTGCCAACACAGGTCAGCTCTAGCCCTCTGACCATGGGTTGTACCGACTCTCTGTGGCCACCCCATGTAATTCCGTTCTTGTAAATAAAATTTTGATTAGCTTCTTGTGACTTCGGTCTCTTTGCTGAGTTAATTCCCCCAAGCAGACCAGGCTAGCTATTCTCGAAACGTTCGTAGCCCTATGAATTCTTAACATTGATCGTAGCCAATGTGTAAAGAATGGGCCTAAAAAGTTCGTAGGGATACGAACGTTGCGAGAATAGCTAGCCAGCACGTCAGTTAGATAAGGGGTTTCACCGGAACCATCACTTGGACCCAAGACCCTTATCATAATAATATACTCAATGAAAGTTCACAGGTGGCATGTCCCAGCCTGTTGTCTGTAAATAGTTACCAATTTGAAGGGTGACGAAAATTATCATGTGATAAGGCTCTTAGCTGAAGGAAAACTCTTATTTTGAATGGAAATTGCATAAGAATATTCTTTGATGTAAAAGTAACTTTTGTTTTTCTTAAGACTCGATTCAAGAATTTTTAGGAATATGGGTCCTGGTATCTACTGAAACAGTCTTTGGAAAAGCATATTAAAGGTTTTTGAAATTCTGGGAATTTAGCTTTTCAAACACGACAATGTCACTGTATACATTTAAATCTCCTTCGATGTGTCTGTTTCACTAGCATGGTGTCCCCTATCCCCCTGGTTCTCTGGCCGCCTTGTCAGGTTGGCAGAATGCCTGCCCACAGAACAGAAGGTTGGTGATTTGGGTTGTTTGGGGAATTTTTTGTTTGTTGTTTAACACCAAACTCTGCAATATTCCAGCTATATGACGTCGGCAAATAATCGAGTCCGGACCAGACAATCCAGTGATCAACACCATCAGCATCGATCTACACAATTGGGATATGACGTGCAACCAAGACCCTAAACTTCGCGGGTGTTGGTCATTTGAACTCCAGACAAATGAGGGGCGGCGGGGTAGCCTGATGGTTAAAGCGTTCGCTCGTCACGCCGAAGACCCGGGTTCGATTCCCAACATGGGTACAATGTGTGAAGCTCATTTCTGGTGCCCTCCGCCGTGATATTGCTGGAATATTGCTAAAAGCGGCGTAAAACCAAACTCACTCACTCACTCACTCCAGACAAATTAAACCAAGGAGTTGTTCAAAGATAGTAAGTACTCGTCAGCTGTCCTGTGCTCGGCATTAGACGATGTGGGTAGGACTGGTGGTGATGGAGTCAGTTTAATACGTCAGAGTGTGATATCCATGTTGAGCTTCAGCATGGTAGTTCAGTAGGCTTGCTATTAAATACCGCACTAGTCGGGAATTGTAGAAGCATCTGCAAACACGTGGGTGCGCTCTGATGGATATCATTGTACATGTGCAGTAAATCAGAATGCGACATTGAATCCAATTTCACTTTGCCCCGAACACCTTTCCCTACCCAAAAATTACACAGGCCGAATTTTTGTTGAATGAAAATTCCCCACCTACAGACTGACAGGAAGCGACTGAAAGGACCTGTTGACAACCGCGTTCAGCTCGATGACTGTCACTCATGTTGAACGAAAACAAACTAAACATGGCTTTTTGAGACATTGCTTTAGTATCAGAAAAACATCTACGTGTAACAGCAATAAAGAACAGAGGGAAATGTAGAGGTGAATGTCCAGTGAAGGGGACATGAAGGCTACAGTATAATTACATCACAACTACGAGTAGATGCAGCAACACAGTCTGAAGTCACAGCCTCGGTAGACGACAGTGGAAGCGGTTCTGAAACGCCATTAACAACTTCGTCAGATATACATTACGGAACTGTCTATGATTTGACGACCCTTACCAATCTGTCATTTAGGTCGTCTTCTGTTCATGGGAAACACAAATAAGAAAAAGTGTATGAAAAAGTACATCACAACGTCCCTCCATGGCCTGTAAATACGGCTAACATAAACAGGGTCGTAGGTAGCCGGGGAGGGGGATTTTTACAGACTATTTTTTGTACATCAAAGTATGGATCTAACACTCTCTCAACGTGGATAGTGCCCCCTATTAAGAAAAGTTAACAACGACCCTGATACAGTGTTGTTGTTTATCGTAACCAACAAATCCAGACACGGCGTGCTTCCAGCTAGATGAACTCCAGCAGGTTCTCTGGCCATTGAGCGCCCTGATTACATCTCAAAACTGCACTTATATATCGTTCAGCATTGGTTAAGATCTTGTGGGCGTCTACTCAGTGTCCGGTACAAGGGACTTTCCTAAAATATATTTTCCTAATGCAGCTGTCATATTGCAGGTTTGGGCTTTCCCCAGCTCCCTCACGCCTGCATACAGACACATACAGATCACATGTTTACTGGCAGTGATAAGGTGGAGTCCCACTTGTTTACTGACCTCAATAAGGTGGCGTCCCACTTGTTTACTGACCTCAATAAGGTGGAGTCCCACTTGTTTACTGGCAGTGATAAGGTGGAGTCCCACTTGTTTACTGACCTCAATAAGGTGGCGTCCCACTTGTTTACTGACCACAATAAGGTGGAGTCCCACTTGTTTACTGACCTCAAAAAGGTGGAGTCCTACTTGTTTACTGACCTCAATAAGGTGGCGTCCCACTTGTTTACTGACCTCAATAAGGTGGAGTCCCACTTGTTTACTGACCTCAATAAGGTGGAGTCCCACTTGTTTACTGACCTCAAAAAGGTGGAGTCCCACTTGTTTACTGACCTCAATACGGTGGAGTCCCACTTGTTTACTGACCTCAATACGGTGGAGTCCCACTTGTTTACTGACCTCAATACGGTGGAGTCCCACTTGTTTACTGACCTCAATAAGGTGGAGTCCCACTTGTTTACTGACCTCAATAAGGTGGTGTCCTACTTGTTTACTGACCTCAGAAAGGTGGAGTCCCACTTGTTTACTGACCTCAAAAAGGTGGAGTCCCACTTGTTTACTGACCTCAGAAAGGTGGAGTCCCACTTGTTTACTGACCTCAAAAAGGTGGAGTCCCACTTGTTTACTGACCTCAAAAAGGTGGAGTCCCACTTGTTTACTGACCTCAATAAGGTGGAGTCCCACTTGTTTACTGACCTCAGAAAGGTGGAGTCCCACTTGTTTACTGACCTCAAAAAGGTGGAGTCCCACTTGTTTACTGACCTCAAAAAGGTGGAGTCCCACTTGTTTACTGACCACAATAAGGTGGAGTCCCACTTGTTTACTGACCTCAATAAGGTGCCGCCCGCTAGTTTACTTAAGCACTAAGGTGCCGCCCCCTAGTTTACTTACAGCACTAAGGTGCCGCCCCGCTAGTTTACTTACTTACAGCACTAAGGTGCCGCCCCTAGTTTACTTACAGCAATAAGGTGCCGCCCCGCTAGTTTACTTACAGCACTAAGGTGCCGCCCCTAGTTTACTTACAGCACTAAGGTGCCGCCCCGCTAGTTTACTTACAGCACTAAGGTGCCGCCCGCTAGTTTACTTACAGCAATAAGGTGCCGCCCCGCTAGTTTACTTACAGCAATATAAGGTGCCGCCCCGCTAGTTTACTTACAGCACTAAGGTGCCGTCCCGCTAGTTTACTTACAGCACTAAGGTGCCGCCCCTAGTTTACTTACAGCACTAAGGTGCCGCCCGCTAGTTTACTTACAGCAATAAGGTGCCGCCCCGCTGGTTTACAGCGCTTAAGGTGCCGCCCGCTAGTTTACTTACAGCACTGCCGTCCCTAGTTTACTTACAGCACTAAGGTGCCGCCCGCTAGTTTACTTACAGCACTAAGGTGCCGCCCCGCTAGTTTACTTACAGCAGTAAGGTGCCGCCCCTAGTTTACTTACAGCACTAAGGTGCCGCCCGCTAGTTTACTTACAGCAGTAAGGTGCCGCCCCCTAGTTTACTTACAGCACTAAGGTGCCGTCCCGCTGGTGCCGTCCCGCTTTACTTACAGCACTAAACAGTGCCGTCCCCTTTGTTTACTTACAGCACTAAGGTGCCGCCACTAAGTTGCCGACCCCCCCGCTAGTTTACTTACAGCACTAAGGTGCCGCCCCCTAGTTTAGCTAGTTTTAAGGTGCCGCCCGCTTTAACTTACAGCAGTAAGGTGCCGCCCCGCTAGTTTACTTACAGCACTAAGGTGCCGTCCCGCTAGTTTACTTACAGCACTAAGGTGCCGCCCCTGGTTTACTTACAGCACTAAGGTTGCCGCCCCGCTGGTTTACTTACTTACAGCACTAAAGGTGCCGTCCCTAGTTTACTTACAGCACTGCCGCCCCTAGTTTACTTACAGCAATAAGGTGCCGCCCCTGGTTTACTTACAGCAATATTGTGCCGCCCCTAGGTTGCCGCCCCCCTAGTTTACTCACAGCACTAAGGTGCCGCCCCATAAGTTTACTTACAGCAATTAGGTGCCGCTCCATAGTTTACTTACAGCAATAAGGTGGAGTCCCAGTGGTTTTGAGGTAGAAAGTGCCGTGGAGTTTGGGGTCGGCGAAGTAGCCCATGCGGGAGCAGGGCGTGGCGTCGCTGCAGCTGCACTTCCCTGCCTTGAAGTCGTCCCAGTTGGCACAGGGGACGGCCGTGTAATGGCAATGGGTGAGGGAAGACCAGAACATGTCGTATGCGCGGCTGTGACTGCACGCAGCGCCGCTGATGAACCCTTTGGGAAAACAGGACAGTTTCAGAAGGAAGGTCGTAAACAGTTTACAGTATGTCAGTAATATCAGGGGTTGATGGCGTAATGCAGGTCATAGACGCTTAACTCCTCGATAAAACCATGAGTAGGGTACCGTGCTAACACGAATAGAGAGTGGGTGAGTTTAGTTTTATGCCGCACTCATCATTATTCCAGCAGTATGGCGGTGGTCTGTAAATAATCGAGTCCAGACAATCCAGTGATCAACAGCATGAGCATCTATCAACGCAATTGGGATACCATGACATGTGTCAACCCAGTTAGCGAGCCTGACCAACCGATCTCGTTAATCGCCTCTTAGGGCACGCATAGGTTACTGAAGATCACTTCTAACCCAGATCTTCACGGGTCCACAAATAAAGACATGACCAAAGCGACCCGGGAATTGAACCCATGGTTGGAGGTTACATACCTTTAATACCGCCTGTCACCAACGAAAACAGGTGATCGCCCAGGTTCTTGGGGCATCCCTCCTGGTCGGACCCACCGGCAGGGTAGAAGTCGGCGTGGCCCATCCGTCGCATCATACCAAAGCCTTGAACACAATCCAACCAGTTAGTTCAATAGTTGAAGCTAGACCCTTACAAAATGCCGGGTGATAAACGATGGTGATGGAGATGAATGAGGGATGGTGTAGTATCACCACTTTCTATTCCAGCAATGTTATCGTAGAGGTCAGAAAAAATGGACATCACACATATGGGGAATCGAGTCGTGCCTTCGGCTTGACCCCAACACCCCGGTGATCCTTATGATTATTAAAGTGAGTGAGTCAGTGCGTTTAGGTTTACGCCGCTTTTAGCAATATTCCAGCAATATTCGGCGGGGGACACCAGATGTCGGACGCCATCTGTGTTTGAAATCAAGGACAGAGTGAATCTCCATTATTAAGTAGCATATATAGATGTTTTGTTTTATTGTTTTAACACCACAGACAGTAATATTCCAGCTAAATGTGAATAATAGCAGTCTGTGAATAATCGGGTTGGGATACGATGGCATGCATCAACGAAGTCTGCGACGCTCATCATCAGATCCCTTTACTCAATTTTTCCGACAAACATGGGTTGCTGAAGATCAGTTCTAACCCGGATCTTCACGGACCGACTCCCGGTTATTGCGTGCCATGTTATACGTGTTGTGTGTCATCACACTATCATCTACTGATTTGCCTGCTATTATCCCTCGTGACACCGTCATAGTGCATTATGTTCAAGGATTCGGCAGGTCGTTATTCTCAATGGCCATGCACGCGAAACGATCGAACACGACGGGAACGAGCATCTGTTCAAGGTTCTGTATCGTCGTGCAAAACGCTTCGTGTTTGTGAGGTGAGGTGAGGTGAGGTGAGGTCAAATTGGGTTTAACGTCGTGCTTGAGAATATTTCGCTCATATGACGACGTGCATGCGTGTGTATGTGTATGTGCGGCTGCTTGTACTAGCCCAGACTGAAGCTGGTTTTATAGTGCTAGCCCACTGAGATACCATGTCGCAGTGAAGCATGAATACCCCACTCAGACACATTATACTGACTCCGAGCCAACCAGTCCTTGTTGTACCCATTAATGCCGAGCGCCAGGCAGGGACCAACAAGTACCATATTTTAACGTCTTTTGGTATGACGCGGTCGGGGATCGAACCCGCGACCTTCCGCTCTCCGGGCGGACGCTCTAACCACTACACCACGGGAGACGGTCTCGTGTTTGTGGTCCACGTGGCGTGAACCGTTAGGGAGCGATATGAGGCTCTAGTGAACTGCCTTAATCTATACATGCCGCTTGTACAGATACCCACCCAACTTTGACAGATGTTCTGCATCCGTGTGCATGATGTCCACGAACTGGGCGTCCGTCTTGTCCAGCCTAATGTCGCAGTTGTCCTTGTCAAACGAGGGGCCTGCCGGATCCATGCCTGGGAACATAGACTCTTTCTGTGACCAATCTCACACGCTAAACTTATACTTTCTGGAATCAAGGGCACCAATAGTGCGCTGTCAAACAAACTAACAGGGAACGCTGCCGTTGAGTGTAGTCCAGAACCTATGGTACCTTCGTATGCGTTTCCAGGTCAGTGGACAAGAATTTAGCCTAAGCTTTTGGAACCCCGTATTGTTCAGCCTTGATTTGGAACTGGCTGAGGGTGTTGTCGGCGTGACCTTTCCGTACTTACATTCAGTGTTAAATTGGCCCCTTCCACAAATAAGTTCAGTCTGCAAGAACAGTTCTTGCGTTTCCAAATTAAATGATGCCCCGAAAGTATATTAACAATTCATTTGGCTGTCATTATATCAAAGGCAATTGGTTTCGCACGAATGAAACGTCGGCACCTTGAAGCGATGCTACTTCCTGTACACATTGAATCACGGTCACGTTTGAGGTGTACCTGTAATTCACACTTAAGGTGTACCTGTAATTCACATTTGAGGAGTACCTGTAATTCACATTTGAGGTGTAACTGTAATTCACACTTGAGGTGTACCTGTTATTCACATTTGAGGTGTACCTGTAATTCACGCTTGAGGAGTACTTGTAATTCACGTTTGAGGTGTACCTGTAATTTACATTTGAGGTGTACCTGTAATTCACATTGAGGAGTACCTGTAATTCACATTTGACGTGTACCTGTAATTCGCCCAAGCTGTCCACCCAGCAGCTGACCCACTTGTCCGCTGATGTGGGCGCCGAGGCTGTGGCCGATGATGTGGATGTCACCGTATGATGTGCCGATTTCGTTCAACGCCTTTATGAACAGTGACAGCATGGATGCCACGAGTCTTGTGTTGGAGGCAGCTTGGTCGTATATCTTGGGGGATGCGCCTTCTTGCCAGTTCACACGGAACACATTGAAATCACCCTGTACAGATAAAAACATTTATAGCTAAAATAATTATGTTGAAGCCGACGACATACATACATATTCTAATGTTCAAGCTCATCATGTGTTTTTCTTGTGCCAATGTATAAATTGACGACGTGGGTCAATATTTTAATGTTCAAGCTGTTGACATTCAGCACTATACCACAGCATGCCCGAACTGATGAGCCGAATGTGATCACAAGTAAATAGTGCAAGAATGTCATTCAGGTGACAAAGCAATAATGCAATAATATACTTTAGGTGACAAGGAGAGAAATGCAAGTATATTATTTAGGTGACAAGGAGAGAAATGCAAGAATATTATTTAGGTGACAAGGAGAGAAATGCAAGAATATTATTTAGGTGACAAGGAGAGAAATGCAAGAATATTATTTAGGTGACAAGGAGAGAAATGCAAGAATATTATTTAGGTGACAAGGAGAGAAATGCAAGAATATTATTTAGGTGACAAGGAGAGAAATGCAAGAATATTATTTAGTTGACAAGGAGAGAAATGCAAGAATATTATTTAGGTGACAATAAAATAGTGAAAGAATATTACATACGTGACATGGCCATAATGCAAGAAACTCATTTAGATGATAAGGAGATAATGGAAGAATATCATTTCGTTAACAAAACATTATGTAATAATATCAGGGAGATAACGCGTAAATGACAAAGAGATAACGCATGAATACCATTTTGGTGACAATGGGATAATGCAAGAATATTATTTTCGTGCCAAGGGGATAATGCAAGAATATTATTTTCGTGACAAGGGGATAATGCAAGAATACCATTCAGGTAACAAGGAAATAAAGCAAGAATACCATTTAGGTGACAAGGAAATAATGCAAGAATACCATTTAGGTGACAGGGAAAAAATGCAAGAATATTATGCTGGTGACGAGGAGATAATGCAAGAATACCACTTAGGTGACAAGAAGATAACGGTAGAATACCATTCAGGTACAAGGAGATAATCAGATGATGATTGAAGGAGCAACCATACACTCCGAAACGTCGTGTTATTCACAATAAAGAAGTTGACGTCCATAATCTTGCTTTTCTTATGCATTCCACTTCTAAATGCCCTTCAATGATTTGAAGGAATGTTACATTCAGTACCGGAACATAATGGAAGAATGCCATCTACGTGATATGGAAACAATGCTATAATATTAAGGACAGGTGGACTCTCACTTGTTCAAGCAATGTGCGCTCTATGTTAGCCACCCATTCCGAGAGACAGTCGTCAGTGTAGCCGTGAACGATGAAGTAGGTGCGTTTCCCGGCGGTGTAGTGACTGTTGGAGATGCTGAATATGTTGCCTGCGGTGTCGGTGTTGGTGTCGATGTTGATCCACTGAGGGTAGTACCTGTTGCTCCGGGTGTAGAGGGCAAGCTGTAGTCCCTGCTCATCGGGTGACTGGGGAATACAACCCTTCGTGTTGTCATACGGATATTCGTTGCCGAAACAGCCGAACACCCCGAAACATTCCCACTTCTTCTTCGACCCGAAAAACCAACCTGAAACATCGCGTTCATTTATTGTATGAATGCTGCTTAATGCCTCAATATTCCAGTAGCCTAGTGGTTAAAGTTCGCTCGTCAAGCCGAAGAGAGGGGTTCGATTCCCCACAATGTGTGAAGCCCATTTCTGGTGTACACCGCCGTGATATTGCTGGAATATTGCTAAAAGCGGCGTAAAACTAAACTTACTCACTCACACACTTCCAACTATAGGACGGTTGTCAGCAAATTACTCAACTGGGCAAACCAATGACTGAACATTAAGCAAAGATGCATATTATCTGGGCACAATGACGTGCATTCAACAATGTAGACTAACGCTTAGTCTCTGATTATATATCATATTATAATAACAAATAAACCCATTTAAATTGAAAAGGAGCCCTAGGCAGACCAGAGATTCATGAACCTCGAGAAATCTAGATTTGATTCATTTAGGGCTTTAGCACTGCAGGGGAGGGCTTGGCTGCAGGGTAAATAATGTGGTTCTGGGACTGTGTGTCAGACTATTAATAACACCACAGAACCTGAACCTTATCTTAATCGTCTCTTACAGGAAAGAACCGGGATTCTAGTCTGACCCAAAATACTCACAAGGACTTTTCATAGTACCTATCATTTATGAAAACTAAAACTCTGCTATCGATCAAAGAAGAAACTGAACTCGTTAATTGATCTTTGTTCCCCTTATATCGTTTTGCATTTAACGTCGGCCTGGGTTTCACACCGTTATGTATTTTTGAGAAGCAGTCAACTTTCACAATGCAATATTTCAAAGACACAGTGTTTCCCATAATTGAATTACAATCATGTTAAGTTCAACTGTTTAGCTTGGTTAACAATGATTGTTCCGATAAAGCGGTATTATTGCGGGATTGTTCCGATAAAGCGGTATTATTGCGGGCGAGCCGTAAAACAACACCCTCCCAATGATTTCGTGAAGTAGCTCTAATAAGAACCCATCTACCCTATTCATACACACACGCGCAAGCGCACGCACACACACACTCTCTCCATTTCTGGTGTGATGTAATTCAAAACTTACGTCACAATAAGATTTGATTGACGTAACAATGACGCCTACGTCCTGATGACGTACACAATATATACTGAATTCTTAACTTTGATCGTAGCCAATGTGTTAAGAATGGGCTTAAGAAGTTCGTAGGGCTACGAACGTTTCGAGAATAGCTAGCCTGTTGCACATACGATGTTATGACGTCGGATATTAAATTACTAGCCCTAACGGTAAAAAAACAATTTCACCTTGTGATCGACATAGAATTCACTGTCGAAGTGCCAACAGGGTCAACAAGCAAGTAACGTAATATCAATCTATATTGTGTATTCAAAACAGATCAGGGAGATCTTCATCCAAAGAAGAGTTACGGGTTTTCGGTTCTTTTATAATATCATGTGGCCTTTAATTTCGGGTCTGCTTAACCGGTATGCATGTATGAAATACAGTTTAAGTCACGATGTAATATTTCAAGAGTATCGCAACAATGTCTCTTAAAATTGAAGGACTGTTTAGGGTTACTGTTTTAATAGTGGAAGCTGGAATAAAGCTGCCATATTGATGACCTTTCCTATCCCCCGCGGTGACAATTAAGAACTATGATGGCTAATGACTATGGTAATGTAGCTGGACAATGATGATGTAGTTTATACAGGGATCACCGATAGTCTAATAAAAACGAGACATGTGATTGACATGTAGGCCGCCATTAGCGTGTGTTGAGATACTGTTTTCCGACAACTAAGTACATTAGGTCTCGGATACAACCAGACTTATCATCACTAAAACGACCGTTTAAAGTACAAATGAATATGTGCCGACTCACTCGAGTTGTCAAAATAACTAAGAACAGGGATAATCTACAACGCAGTGACTTGATTCGTTCCCAGCGCAACTTCGGCTGCGTATAACAGTACTTCAGCCAGTTTATTGTATCAGTCGGAATTTTACAATGAATGAATGAATTAATTAATTAAAAGCAAGAGTTATATGTTTATGAATGAAAGAAATAAAGAAAAAGAACGAAACAAAGAAATACATATGTGAATGAATGAAAGAATAAATGATACACCACGGCCATCCCTCCCCAAACATGTTAAAGAACGTAAAACTATCACTGGAACACAGGTGTTAACATCAGCTGTCCTTTATTTTTAAAATCTACTTTGATACATTTTTTTGCATTAGTAATTAATTCAGATATCTTATTGCATGTGTGGAATGGCATGGACATTGACAGAATGTTAAGTGACACTGTCACACAACCCTCAAAAACAGAGAGTTTAGAACTATCACAAAGCGTTGTAAACACCTTTCCAGTTTTGTCAAATACTAAGATCAACAAGAAAGAAAGAAGTTTTAGAACTATAACACTCGAGCATCACAAGCATCAACGGCGGATCAGAACAGATCGGCCATATGTCATATTTTTCACACACCTCAAATACACCCTATCAATTTTTAAAAAATTATAAAACTATCACTATTACTTGCAAACGCCTTTCACCTGATGGTATATTCCCCTCATAAAAATTAAAGGTGTATGTGAAAGATGTTTTAGAACAAGAACTAAGGGTGACAACCATTATTGGCATGAGTATATTTCAATGGCAGATCGGCGATATGTCATATTTTTCACACACCTCAAATACACCCTAACAATATTTTTTAGTTATAAAACTATCACTATTACTTGTAAACACCTTTCAACTAAAGGTATATTTCCCTTCTAAAAATTAAATAAATATGTGAAAGAAGGTTTTAGCGATAGAATTTAGTCTTTCTTCGCCGTGTACCGAGAACTGAAGCCAGTGAGCTACGACATGCCGACTTGAAACTTTACTACAAATCTACTGTACTAATACTAACACTAATAACAATTATTTGACTTAAAATGAAGTGACAGAACAGGTAACTTATCATCTACAGGTAGGTTTTCAGTTGTCACAACACTTAATGTAACCAGCTGTTGAAAATAACCAAGCTCAATCTTAAAAACTACGCTGTCGCCATATTGGCTACACTGGTCACGTGACGAGCCGAGGCATACGCTAAGGTGCTTTTCGAGGAGTGACCACTCCCCCTTATATAGTCTCCCTGCTAAGAGTAACCAACTCACGGCATTCTACTGTTGTACAATCCGTCGTTCGACAAATATGTCAAATAAACATTGACACAAGTACCTGAACTTCTAATATAATTTCGAATGGATCTCAAAAGAATATATTGACCATATTAATATTGCAACTGTCATTTCAAAATTTATTCCTGGAAACTAATCAATCATCTTGAGTTGTTGACAAAAGGACGATACACATTCTCCTCCCAGTGACACAATAGGAGGCGGGACGGTGCCGAGCACTGTTGGTGTAATTACAGTATGATAGGGACGACCT